CTGAACTTTTACCCATGTTCTTAATCTTTAATCAGTTAGAACCTCAAGAATTATTAACAATTGCTATTATTAGCACATGATAACTATTATGTGCTCAATAATATCTAGTTTGGTGGGATTTATCAGCAATATCTCCCTCTCCTTTGTTCCAGTGAACCCTGCCTATATGGATGAAAGTAGCCCTATTTATGCTTATGGAAACCCACTGCTGTCTGAAAGTGATTGGCACAAGTCACCCCAAGGTAAGGCTTAATGAACAGTGATCAAAACTCACCCTGGAGAAGAAACACATTCAAGGCAATCCAGATGTTGCCATCCCCTCATGACCTTTGGGATGGTAACTAATGCAATCTTTACTTAATTTACCATAATAGTTTCTTGTTTTTGTTTTTTTAAGACCTGCAGTTTTTATTTTTATTCCTCTCTTCTGGGTACCAAGGTTTCTTCATTAGGAATCTTCTGATTGCAAGTAACAGAAAGCCAATGCAGATGGGCATTAGCCAAAGGGAAATGTATTAGTCTGTGTGGTGGAAAGGGTGTGGGGAAACTCAAAAAACTGAAAGCGTAAATACCTTCCAGCACCTAGTCCAGTGCCTGGCACATAGTATGTATTTTAGAAATATTTGTTGGTTTAATTTTTTGAATGAGTTATAGAAATCAGAGCCCCAGAATCTGAAACCAGGGCCCAGTGCCACCTGGATGCTCCTCTTTTCTATCCACTCTCACCTCTGCTTGACACAGCTTTCCTTTAAGCTTGAATTTATTATCTCCATGACACTCAGGCCTTCTCCATGGGCCAGAGAACAGGATCACATGTACAAGAAGACTTCAAAAAGTCCGTGGAAAAATGCAATTCAAGTATAAGTTTATTTGGGTGCAAAAATTTTGAAATCTATGGGCTGGCAGGTGATGTGGTGGTTAAAGGTGCTGAATTCCCACATGGCCAACCACGGTTCAAGTCCCAGACTTGGTGACTTTCTCTCTGGTCAAATTAAATAATAATAATAATAATAATAATAATAATAATAATAACAACAACAACAACAACAACAACAACAATAGTTATTATTCCATTTATTTAATGGAATTAAATAAATAAATAATTCTTTCAAAAAATTAAAATCTATAGTTGACACATAATAGTTTCCATGAACTTGTTGAAGACCTCCCTTTATGTGCCCCCCAGCTTAGCTTAGTCTTTCTCTTTGGGTCTGTCCATCAGTGCTGGAATATCAGAGTGTTTATTCTGACCAGTTCTATTTGGGGCACATGCTCCACTAGGACCATCATTTTAACCAGAGCAGACAAGATGGGGTCACTTGTCCATTCTGTGGCTAATGTCTGTGCTGCTGGGAATGAGAGGCAGTGATCAACCTTTTTCTGAATAATCATACAATAATTATGATGGTGGAGTTTGAAAGCAATCAGACTGGGTAAAGACAGAGGCTTCAAAATGGGTAAGGAAGGTTTGACCAGAGGGTTAGGCTCCCAGTTCCACTTCTTGCTGGTTTTATGACTGTAGAAAGACTACCCTGCTGAGACTTGGTTAGGAAGCTCTGTGTGGATCACTGTGTGCAGGGAGGGAGGTCTAAGCAGAGCCAAAGCCTGAGAAAGAGAAAGGAAGCAACAGAAGAGAGGGGCTTGGGATTGCCAGAACCAAAAGGCAAGTCTGTCAACAAGAGAAAGAAGCTAATAGAATCCTTGTTATAGTAAAGCAAATTGAGGGACTCCATGACTTAAAACTGTGACTCACCTTCCAGCCTGTATGATAATTCTTGGCCCCATCCCTTAAGAGCCACCTCAAGGAGGCATACATCTTTCACAGGGGTTAGGTATTATTACCTGGAAGGGGAAACCCCGAGGATAGAAAGGCTCACACTCCCCATTTGGCTCCTGTAATTCTGAGAAAAGAGAAGTGTTTTTAAATTCCTAAGATTGCAGTTTAATCAGCACGATGTGTGGTGAATCTTTTATTTTTTTTATTTTTTATTTTTTTGGAGAGATTTTCACTGTAGGGCGCGTGTGCTCGCCAGACAGACAGAGAGAGACATAGAGACAGAAAGCGAGAAATCACCCCCCAGGGGGGATGGTCACGCCGCAATCCCTTCTCCTCCATTCTCCTCTCGGGATCTTGGGCACGCACGCACACGTGCCCGGCGTGAGTTTTAAGCCACCGGGTCCGGGACGCGAACCACGGTCGACTACGTGGGAGTCCAGCGACATAGCCATTACGCTAACTGCTGGTTCCCATGTGGTGAATCTTTTAGAAGAAGAGTTCACTTCTCTCTAGAAGTAAAAAAAATAGAGGACCCAAAGACTATCCTGGTCTTCTTTACCGTTTTGGCTTACATTGGTTCTGATTCTCAGACCACGTGCAGTTAATTGCTGGACAGCCTCATGATAAAGTATCATTTGATGGATTATGCCATGTTTGAAGAAGCTGCTGGCGCATAGTAGGCACTCACAAATATTCATTCAGTGATGACTGAATGAGTGATACATCAGCATCTCATTATAGGAAGAGGCCAGGGTGAAGTGATGAACAGCTTCTGCTTTGGATTCAATCCAACCTGGGTGTGACTCCCAGCTCTATCGCTTCCTGGTTTTGGCAAATTATCTTGTCGAGCCTCAGGTTTTTTTTTTTTTTTTTAAATATTATTAATTTACTTCTTCCATGAGTGGCAGAGAGAGAGAGAGACAGAGAGAGGCAGTATTCCCAACAAGATGTTGACTAATCACACCCACCCACAGCCAGTCCTGCATCCTGGGCACATGCGTGCCCTCTGTGCTCAGAGAGGTCTCTGCAGTCGAACCGGGAACCTTCCCACCTAGGTTAGCCTTGCAGAGCATGGTGTTTTACCACTATGCTATCATCCAGCTCCCTGTTTTGTTTTTTTAAAGTTTATTTTTTTCATGGGAGACAGAGACCAAGAGAAAAAAAAGTACCCTCAGCAGGGTCTCACATCACAACATCCCCACATTACCACCAACCTTTCTGCCAGCCATGGTCACAGGCATGTGCACTTGGTGTGTACAGGTTGACTGGGGAATCAAACCCCAGTCTTCCATGTGGCTTGTAGCATTGCAGAGTATTATACTATTGCTACAGCACCATGGCTGGACTTGAGCCTTAGTTTTTTTGTTTTTTGTTTTTTTTTTCCCTTGGGGGCAGTGTGTTTTCTAAGGTATGAAAGGGGGTTGGTTATATTAAGGGATCTTCAAAAATGTATGGAAAATTATTATTAGAAAAAAATTATACATGGAGTCCAAATTTTTAGCTGCAAATGAAGCTGGGAGAATTTCATCTGAGCAAAGGGCCCGGACTGTAATGGGATTTCTGTGGGTACCAAAAACAGAAAAGAGATATTGGGAAGCCGACAAATAGCAGTGTCCATCACTCAGTGCAGTTAGGAGATAATAATGGTATCACTGTAAACCTATCTGGATTTATATAGGTGTATAAAATTGTAAATATCAAATATAAGTTCTAGGCCAGAAACGCTACAAAAGAAAATCATGCCCTTTGATTATGAATCATCTAGAAGAATGTCTGCCTTCTGTTTCTAGAATCTCGTTGTCACTAAAGTGAAGGATTCTGTTTCTGATTTCTCACCTAGTTACCAAGACAGAGTTCTCTCCAGGGAAACCCACCCTGTCTCGAGGAGACCCCTCTCGGGGTGATGCTCGGAGTTATGTTGTGATTGTGTGGGTTGGCTTTGCTGATCTCATCCTGGCACTTAGAAAATGTGAATGGTACATATCTTTGTGACTGTCATCGCTTTTCCTCGGCTAGTCCCCACGATGCCGATGTGACTGCTGAATAAGGACCTGGGACGCTCACCTCCGTGGAGAACAAGGCTTGCAGGTGGCAGGAGATGCTGTCTGATGACCAAGCAAATGAAATCATTGTAGAGATTGAGAATGTTCCCTCTGGGGTCCCAAGCCATCTGCTCCCCAATCAGAATTTTCAAGAAAAGTCATTGGCTAACTCAAGCTTCAGCATGGTTTCATCGGTATCAGATGTTGACGTGATAGAATCTCAGATTTTCAGTAACAGGAAACACAAAAAGGGCCACAAGATCTTACGATTTTCAGCATCTTTGAATGAATCCATTTCTCAAACCCTTCGTAGCCCAGAATGCGTGGGTGTAGACTCGCCTCATACGTCCCATGAAACCATTCAAGGTAGTGAACTCTGGGTGAGAGTTAGGGAGGTAACCAAGGGGGCCTCTAGGTTGGTCACAGGGTTTTCTACTTTCAAGGCATCACGTTATGTTGAAGGTTTGGTGGATGAACATGGATGCCAGGACCATGGAAGGGATTACTTTGAAACTTCCATTAGCATGGGTTTACTGTCATCAAGCTTATTTAATGTACCTGGTGTTCCTTTTTGTCTTTCAGCTTTTTTTTTTTTTAAGTTTTTATTTATTTCTTCCATAAGTAAGAGAAACAGAGAGACAAGTGCCCCACTAAGATCTTTTTATCTCCCTAGGTTTTCACCATAGGGTACGGGTGTTCACAGGAGAGATTCAGAGAGAGACAGTGAGAGGGAAAGTGAAAAATCACCCCCCAAGGGGGGATGGCCATGCTGCAATCCCCTCTCCTCCATTTTCCTTCTGGGTTTAGGCCACACACGCACACATACCTGGCATGAGTTTCAAGCTGCCGGATCTGGGACTCCAGCTGTGGTTGGCCATGTGGGAGTCCAGCACGATGCCACCTGTGGCCCCTCCCCAGTGGGATCTCAATGCTGCAATCTATACACAGCCTCAGCCAGCCCTGGATCATGGGCACACACGTGCCCAGTGTATTCAAGGAGGGCTTTGGACATGAACCCAGAACCTTCCCATGTGGCTCAGCCTTGCAGAATATCGTGGTTTACCACTGTGCCACCGTCTGGCTCCCTGAATTTAGTTTTATTTACTCCCCACACTCAGCACCTCTGAGGTAGGCATTTCCATTTTCTTGGCGAGGAATCAGGTTCAGAGAAATTTAGTGACCTGGTAGATCTGGTACCCAAATGCAGATCAGCCTATCCCCAAGGCCGAGCCCTGTTCTGGTTTGGGCCAGTTAACCCACCCTGGTTTTAGGCAACATGGATAGGATGCCTCTTATCACCACATTCATCATGAAAGTAGGTCTTAGCTGAGGTCTCTTAGCCTCCGTTCCTGAAGCCAACAGAAATGCTGTTTTATTTTTACTTCATAATAGTCTAGGCATAAAGTCTAGCAGCTCTCAGTGATTTGGGGGAAAAGAACAAAGTATGTTCACACCAAAGTATTTTATGGGTTTAGTTCTTTTACTGAAGACAGGAGCTTCCCCTCTCATGGTGCTGTCTCCCTGCACCTCTGGGTTTTTTTCTCTCCCAGCCTTTTCTCATTTCTTCCTCTAATTTTATACCCCCTTCCTGCCCAGAAGAGACACAAATTCATCGTCTTCAATATAGTGATTTGTCTACCCTCTTTTGGAGATTCACTTTCCACCTCAACAATGTCATTAAAGTGAACACAATACACCCAGGGGCCAGAGAGTGCTGCAGTGTTAATGCTCTGGACCCACATGGGAAAGGTCCTGGGTTTGTGTCCTGAGACCTCCCTGTAAACACCAGCCATGAACTTGTGCCCATGATCTGGACTGGCTGTGACTAGGGGTGAATCATGGTGTGATGACCCTGTTTGGGGGACAGAGTCTCTCTCTCTCAGAAGAAGGAATAATTGAATAAACTTTCCTTAAAATTAAATGAACACAGTGCTTCCTCATGAGAGTTCTGGTTCTGCAGTATGACCAAGGAGCTGTCCCTGCTCCTCTGTCCCTCAGCCAGCTCCATAATGCTGTCACCCCAGCCACCTCCTGCTTGTTTTCCTTACTGTTGCAAGATGATAGTGGCAGTTTCAGACAGTACGTCTCGACATGACAATATCCAGAAAAAGAAGGATCTGTCTTTCCTTTGTGTGTTTGTTTTTGTTTTGTTTTGTTTTTACCCTTTTAAGAAGAAGGAAGAAATCTTTTCCAAGAAACTTTCAGCAGACTACCCTTCAGAGACATTGGCCAGCACTATGTCACATGCTGATGCCTAAACCAGTCCCCTGCGAAGGGATAAGACCACTGGGGTTAGTGTAGACTCATCAGGACCTGCCCCTTGTGCCTGAAGATGGGCCTGCCCATGGAAGCTCAAGGTTGTCTGAGGAAATGGCAGACTCCTAAAATCAACCGGGACTCTGCTAACAAGGGGGCAGTAACTCTGGGGGAGGTGACCCACAGCATCTGCCGTGCTGATTGAAAATGTGAATATGACGTAGAGGGAGCCGAGGAGGGAGGATGCCCAGGGAGATGGATGAGCACAGGACAATAGCTAAGAAATGTGAAGGAGGCACGTGGCTGGAACTCAGAGGGCAGAAGAACGAGGCGTGATATTTGAGGGAGAGAGAAGAGGTGGGTCCGCCAGGCATGCAGAGTCTTGTTAGCTTTGCTAATGTTTTTGTCACGGGAAAAAGAAAAACAGTGAATTGGAATGAAGTACCAACTGTAGTGTTTGCCTTGACTTTAAGCTTAATACATACGTATATCTTCTTGTTTTTATTTGTGATCTTTGGAATTCCCCAAGACAGTGCCTTGGTACCCCCCCATGGTATGGTACAAGATATATTTTTTTTAAGAATTATTTATTTTATTTTAGTGGTTGTTGTTGTTGTTATTATTATTTGATTTTACCAGAGAGACACAGAGAAAGAGAGAGAAAGGGAAAATGAGAAAGCAAGCCACCAGGTCTGGGACTCGAACTGCAGTCAGCGATGTAGAAGTCCAGCACCTTAACCACTGCATCACTTGCTGGCCCTAGTACAAAATACTTTGAGAAAGAGAGAGACCTCATTCACCTGACTTTTAAAAAAATAGTGTATTATTATAATTGCTCTATTTTAGTATTATTTACTACCGTTATTCTCTTACTGTTATTCTCTTACTGTTATTCTCTTACTGTTATTCTCTTACTAATTTATAAATTAAATTTCGTCATAGGTATGTTTGTATAGAAAAAAATATATATTAAGTTGTCAGGAAAGTCATGATGCATTTATTGCATAGAAAAACAGAAAAAATATATCATTGCTTTCTAGTGTAATATACATTTAATTCACAATATAGAGAAAGAGACTGAAAAGTTTGTAGAAAAGTGGAATTAAAGTATCAGTTTATTTTATGCAAAAAAGTTGAAATCCTTGGATCATTTCTTCACAATATGCATTTCCATGAACTTTTTGAAGACGTTTTTCCGTAGTTTGGTACTATTCACAGTTTTTGACATCTGCAGAAGGCTTAGAGCATATTCCCATGGGTAAAGGGGAACTAAACATGCTCTAACTTGAGCATCACAATTTTAAATATTGTGCTGCCATTACGGAAAAAATAGATGAGGGACCAGCAGATGGCATAATGGTTATGTCGTTGGACTCCCATGTAGTTGACCATGGTTCGAGTCCCAGATCTGGCAGCTTAAAACTCACGCAGGTGCACATGCATACGTACCCAAAAACCTGAGGATAAAATGGAGGAGAAGGGATTGCATCATGGCCATCCCCACTCGGGGGTGATTTCTTGCTTTCTCTCTCTGTATCTCCAGCAAGTGCACACACCCTATAGCAAAAATCTCTCTCTCTAAAAAAAGAAAAAAAAGAAAAAAAGAAAGAAAAAGGAAAAGGAAATTAATCTCGGTTTATTTTCTTCTGCAGGACAAAAGTTAATTGCATCTCTGATACCCATGACTTCTAGAGACAGAATTAAAGCCATCAGGAACCAGCCAAGGACCATGGAAGAGAAAAGAAACCTTAGGTATGGACCAAAGGCTTTTCTTCCTCCCCAGATTTCATAAGAACCTCAATTTTCGACTTTCGCCCTATCTCCTCCATTCTTCTCTTAGGATTTTGGGCATGTACACAGATGTGCCTGGAGTGTTTTTCAAGTTCAGACTGGGACTCAAACTATATGGTCACCCATGTGGGATCTAGTCACCTTAACCGCTATGCCATCTGCTGACCCAATTCATTAACAATTTTTTTCAAACATGTTTTTATGAAAAGGAGAGTGAGTGAGGCATTTTTGACAGATCTCCCTGTTCAGATCCTCTGCCCTGACCTCCCAGTTGGCTAGGAGCACAGGTCACACTCCTGTGCTCCACTTGTTAAGGTCGATCTGGGAACCAAACTGCAGGACTCCCTCCTGGCCCCAGCATTGCCCAGCGTCACCCTACCACCCATCACCAACCATGGTTGGGCCTTGGTAACTATTTTTGGAATAGAAAAATGATAACTTTGGTGTCTCTCACTTGTCCTGCTGTCCCCCACAGGAAAATAGTTGAGAAGGAGAAGAGTAAACAGTCACCGGGTACCCATGAGCTCAACTGCTGCGCTCAGTGTGTGAGCTCTGTTTCGCTGGTAAGTCAGCCTTTACCACGGTCGGGAAGATGGGCACAGCAACTGGCTGAAAACGGAGGGAGAGTGAGTGTCGAAGGGGACTAATGGGAAGAAGAACCAAACTTTAGGGCTATTCCACTGCCTGAGCCATCGGGTCAGTGTAGATGTGGGGAAACGAGATGGGATGAGGTCTAAGACATGTGGAGATGGCAGCCCAGCTTGGCCACTGGGAGTGTCCCTTGGTCAATAGCAAGCCTGGAAGGGTAATAGTCACACTTACCTCAGAGGGTGGTTGTGAGGATTCAGCAAGATAACCTTTGTACACACACTTAGCATGGCGCCTGGCACATTCTAACGCTGTAGCAATGGTGTGCATTTAGTTGCCATGGCACCTGCTCAGTCGATGTGTGTGGAGTGACCATCAAGTCACCTGCTTTGCATCCTGGCTCCCTGGCTCCTAGGTTTACCGAAGGTCCAAGAACAGCCTGTCGGAAATCCTTAGTTCCATCAGCCTGTGGCAGAAGACACTCAAGGTCATTGGGGGCAAGTTCGGAACCAGTGTCCTCTCCTATTTCAACTTCCTGAGGTGGCTTTTAAAGTTCAACATTTTCTCGTTCATCTTGAACTTCAGCTTCATCATAATCCCTCAGTTTACCGTGGCTGAAAAGAACACCCTCTCATTCACTGGCTTGGAGTTTTTCACAGGGGCGGTAAGTCCTGCATTTCCTGACCACACGTTCACCCCCTCAGAAACCCAGGGACATACTTTGGCCTTCACCTGCCCAGATTGCTCATTTCGTCTGGGGGCAACTGATGGGAAAGTGGGTACTTAAAATGTTTTCCCCCACAAAGTAACGTATATACAACAGAGAGAATTTCTCTCTCCAGAGGTAACCACCATGAATAGCTTGCATTGCTGTCCACATCCCTTTTTCCACACATGTGGTCACACCTATGCGTGAACACAGGCATTTTTTTCTTTTCTTTCTTTCCTTATGGAATGATAAATTGTTCATTACATATGCTCTAGAATTTGCTTTCTCTCACCTAACAATATGAAGGTACTTTAAAAGCCTTGTGGACTGGGGCCAGCAGGTGGCATGGCGGGTAAGGCACTAGATTCCTCATGGCTTGAGTCCTAGACCTGGTGGCTTGCTATTTCACTTTCCCTCTCTCTCTCTTTCTCTCTCTGGTGAGCACATGTGGGCTATGGCAAGCTTAAAAATAATAATAAATTAAATAAATAATTTTTTAAAAATGCAGTGGACAAATGGAATTAAAATTTGAGTTTATTTTTATACAAAAACTTTGAAATGTGTGCACAGTTGTTTCATAATATACATTTTCCATGAACATTTTGAAGCCCTCACAAATACAGTGGACATTTTCTCATGTTTGTATCCATGGATCTACATTTTCTTTCTTTTTAAAAGTTTTTGGAAATAATTATTTATTTAATTTAATTTATTATTATTATTTTAAAATTTGCTATAGGGCACATGAACTCACTAGAGAGAGATAGAGAGAGGGAGGGAATGTGAAAAAGCAAACCACCAGGTCTGGGACTTGAACCATGATCAGCCATGTGGGAGTCCAGCACCCCAACCACCGTGCCACCTGCTGTCCCCCTTTTTTATATTTATTTCTATGAAATTCAGTGCTCATTTTGAACAATTCATATTATAGACAAGAACTAAGAAGAGATTTGTTTCACCTTTCTTCCTTGGTCTAACTCCCGTCTTTGGGTGTGTCTTAGTCTGCTCTCCCGTGGCTAACATCTGAACACTCCGGTCTCAGTGATTTATAAAGAATCAAAGTTTATTCAGCTTCTGGTTTGGGAGGTCCAAGGTCAAAGAGCTGTACCTGGTGAGGGTCTTCTTGCTAGTGGAGGGGTTCTTTGCAACGTCCAAAGGTGGGACGGGGCAGCACATGCCAGGAAGTGCTTGAGTGAGCATGAGTGCATCTCTGCGTCTCCGTACAGGGTTCAATCATGGAGAGCCCTGCCCTGATGACCCTATTTTATCCTAATCTCCTCCCAAAAGCTCCATCCATCTCAACACCTCAGATGGATTAAATTTCACCCTCTTAATCCCATTACAAAGGCAATTCTGTTGCCAACATATGAACTTAGGGAGGGGGACACATTTAAACCATTGCAGGGTATACCTTTGTAGACTGTTTTTCTTTTTAAAGAATTATTTAATTGTATTCATTATTATTATTTTTTTAACTTGCTGTAGAGCACGTGCACTTACCAGAGAGACCCAGTGTGTGGGGGGATAAAGTGAGAGAGCAAGCTGCCAGGTCTGAGACTTGAACCACAGCTGGCCATGTGGGAGTCTTGTGCCTTAACTATCACACCACCTGCTGGCCCTATAGGTTGTTTTTTGTTCCTATATGAACATAGATAAATAGTTAGATGGATGACAGACACACAGGTACATGTTGGGTTGTCAGAAAAGTCATGACGTATTTTTTTTTCTATGCAAAAATGCGTCATGACTTTTCTTTAAAGAATTTTTAAATTTTGGGACCAGCAGTTAGCATAATGGCTATGTCGCTGGACTTCCATGTAGCTGACCACGGTTTGAGTCCCAGACCTGGTGGCTTCAACTCACGCTAGGCACATGTGCACGTGTGCCCAAGATCCCGAGAGGAGAGTGGAGGAGAAGGGATTGCAGCGTGGCCATCCCCTCCTGGGGGGTGATTTCTCACTTTCTGTTTCTCTGTCTCTCTCTGTCTTTCTGGCGAGTGCATGCAACCTATAGCAAAAACCTCTCAAAAAAAAAAAAAAGAATGTTTAAATTTTTAACTTTCTTATTTATTTATTTATTTAAATTTGACCAGAGAGAGAGGGGAAAGAAGGAGTAATTGAGAAAGCAAGCTGCCAGGTCTGGAACTCAAACTGCGGTCGACCATGTGGGAGTCCAGCAGCCTTAACCACCAGGCCACCTGCCAGGCCCCAACATGACTTTTTTGACAACCCAATATTCTTTATAAGAAAAAAAAATAGAGAATAGAATTGTACTATGAGTCTTTTTTATGACTACTTTTGCTTCACTCTATATCTCAGACATTTTTTATGAATCCACATTACTCTGTTTAACAGAAACCATAATGTATTTATCCAGCTCCCTATGGAAAACAAGGAAGTCACAAGACAGGGTGTGCATTCTCAAAGAGCTTTTTTCTGCCATCGAGATTCTGTTACAGCAGAAATCCACAAACTACAGCTGAGGGTCAAATCCAGCTTACCACTTGGTTTTGCACCACCTGTGTACTGAGATTGTTTTGTACATTTGTAAGAAGTTGAAAAAGAATCAAAGGTGGGAACCAGCAGTTAGCATAATGGCTATGTCGCTGGACTCCCACGTAGTCAACCGCAGTTCGCATCCCGGACCCAGTGGCTTAAAACTCACGCCAGGTATGTGTGTATGCCCAAGATCCCGAGAGGAGAATGGAGGAGAAGCGATTGCGGTGTGACCATCCCCCCTGGAGGGTGATTTCTCGCTTTCTATCTCTATGTCTCTGTCTGTCTGGTGAGCGCACATGCCATATAGCGAAAAAAAACTCTCCAAAAAAAAATAAATAAAAAGAATCAAAGGAAGGATAACATTTTGTGAAGCTGAAAATTACATGAAATTTTAATTTTGGTGCCCATAAATAAAGCTCTTTTGGAACACGGCCACACCCATTCATTTTTGTGATGTCTGGCTGTTTTCATGCTATGACAGCAGGGTTGATTGAATAGCTGCCATGGTGGCAGCCATATGGCCTGCGAAACTGAAGACATTTACTCTCTAGCTCTTACCAGAATAAGTTTGACAGCCCTTACAGTAGAACATTCAAAGAAATGTCCTTCCATTTGTCTAAAAAAAAAAAAAAAAAAAAAAAAAAAAGATTTATATAATTATTTCCAGGAAAAAGAGGAGAGAGAGAGGCCACCTCCAAAGGAGCCCTTTTGCCACACTCCACCCCCAGTCCCAGCCAGCCACATACATGGCCAGCATGCTCAAGAAGACCAGGGCAGCAGCCCAGGAAGCCCTGCATATGGTCCAGTTACGTCACTAGTATGCCACCGCCTGGCCCTGTTTTTTCTTTTCTCCTTTCTGTTAAGAAAACACTTTTGGGGTAGATGAATTAAGATGAAATTTTTGTGTAAACTTCATCATTGTCTTCTTTTTTAACTGTGCATATGCTTCATTTTGGTATGTAGGAAACAATTTATTACAAAATATTTTAAACAAAAAAATCAAAAGTATAATGAGCACTCACATAACCCTATATAGATTTTAAGTTGTCCTATTTGTTTTATCTTATTATTTTTAGAAACATTTTCAATTATTGGGTTCTCGGAAACATCACAGTGCATTTTTGGGGTAGAAAAAATACATTGTGACTTTTCCGACAACCCAATAAATTGCAGACACTAGAACATTTCACTGTGAAATTCTTCTACATGCATCTTTGAAAAAGGACACTTTTCTGCAGTCGCAATACCTTTATCACACTGTAGGAGTGAAAAGATTCCCCTTTCCTCTTCATCACGAAGGGCACAGCTGACACCCCTACAACAAAAGACAGACTAATAAAAAGAAAGCCTAACAAATCCATTTTACCAAAGTTTTACGAGACACAGGAAATGAAGACCCAAAGCCCCATTTTTATGCTTAGATGCAGTGAAGAGTGGACAGCCATGTAGAAATGTGATTGACCAAAAGAGAATGATCTGATGGCAGAGAATGAGTGGGAAACGCAGTCAGGCCAGTGTGCTTGGGTTCTTGGCCTCTCCACAGACCTTCCTTTCTCTTAGTATCCACCTTCACAAGAGGTAGGTCAGAGGATGTCTGTATGACCAGCTCCTGCACAGAAAGACAGGGGAAGGTCAGAGCGATATTTCTAGTTCTCACAGCTGGCTTTGGGGAGTGAGGTTCTGGTTTTTATGATCCAACTTTGGTAAAGAGAGATTCTAGTTTCTATGGCCTGTGTTGAGGGAAGAAAGAGAGCAGGATATGGAGGGTGGGAGATAGGAGACCTTGCATCTGAGGTCCTTCCATGTGCTTCAGTTTGGAGTATGCAGCAGGCCGAAGTATACTTTAGGGATCATTTCCTGAGCTCCAATAACACCTAACAACATTAAAAATGTGTATCATCCCAAATCCAAACTGTATTCAATTTCCCAAAAAATGTCTTTGGTAGCTTGCTTGTTCAAACCAGGAGCCAACCAAAGACTGGACTTTGCATTCCAGTTTTTTCCTTTTCCCTTAAACCTCCATTAATCTAGAATAATCCCCACAGCCCTAACCCCCTGTTTTTCTTGACATAGCTTGTTACAGAAACTGGGCCAGTATCCTATAGATTCTAGTACTCCATCTTCTGAGATTGTCTGATTACTTCTTCATGGTCTTTCTGGTTTGTTTCTCTGGTTCCTTTTTTTTTTTCCTTTTAAACTGAAGTGGAAAATGAAGGACTTGACTTATTTCTTATGAAATGATTTGACCATAATACTTTCCAGGTGACAGAGGTACATAATACCTGACTGTCCTGCTTTTACGATGTTTCTTTCCCTTGGTCAGTGAGTCCAGATGGTGATTACTGGATCCCTCCATTGTACAGTTACATTGGTTGAGATTCCTGTCCAACTCTGAGAGTCTGGTAATCAGAATGTCTATTTTCAGTGGCCTCAGTCGCCCCTTTCCTGGCAAACTATTGGATTGTTGGGAAAGTCATGTGTGGGAAGCTGCACACCAGCGAGTCTGCCGAGGTTTCTCAGAGGGCAAACAATTACCATGATTGGTTCCCTTCCAAAAACCTGACCTTCGAAACCTTGCTCTGATTGGCCACTAGAATCCCTCAAATTTGCATATCCGGCACCTCATGATTGGTCCAAAAGCAACCAATCATAACCCACCGTTAACAACCAATCAGGGCCTACTGTTTACAACCAATCACAGTCCTCCGTTTACAACCAATCACGACCCACCGTTTACAACCCACCAGAGTGTATATAACCATGATGCCTGGCCCACAGTAGCCAGACGACACAGACAACCGAGAAGACGACACAGACGACCGAGAAGACGACGACCAGGAAGACGACAACTGAAGAGCCTGAAGAGCTGAAACACCGCGCAGTCTCCAGACGACCCTGAAGATCCTGAAGAGCTGACACTGCATCGTCTCCAGACGAACTGGGAGACCCTGAAGAGCTGTAACACTACATCGTCTCCAGACGACCCTGAAGAGTTGTGACACCGTGTCGTCTCGTTCGGCTGTCCCCCCCGGGTCGGGACAGTCATGATGCGTTGTTGCATAGAAAAACAAAAAAATATGTCATGACTTTCCTGATGGCCTAATAAATGTCTAAACTGACTGGCCTAAACTTTTTTTTTCCTTTGGAGAGATTTTTGCTATAGGGTGCGTGCACTCACCAGAAAGACAGAGAGAGAGACAGAAAGCGAGAAATCACCCTCCACGGGGGGTGGCCACCCCACAATCCCTTCTCTTCCATTCTCCTCTCAAGATCTTGGGCATTGGGAACCAGCAGTTAGTGTAATGGCTATGTTGCTGGACTCCCACGTAGTCAACTGCGGTTCGCGTCCCGGACCCATTGGCTTGAAATTCATGCCGGGCGCGTGTGCGCCCGCGCCCAAGATCCTGAGAGGAGAATGGAGGAGAAGGGATTGCGGCATGACCATCCCCCCTGGGGGGGTGATTTCTCACTTTCTGTCTCTCTGTCTGTCTGGCGAGCGCACGCGCCCTATAGCAAAAACCTCTCAAAAAAAAAAAAGAAAAAAGAGATCTTGGGCATGCGCGCACACACAACCGGTGTGAATTTAAGCCACTGGGTCCAGGACTTGAACCGTGGTCCACTACATGGGAACCTAGCGACATAGCCATTTTGCTAACTGCTGGTCCCATGGCACAAACTTCCTGCAGACAGAAGAGGTCAACTCTCTTAGCCATAATCATGACCTTTTTCTCAGAAGAGCCTCCTGACCTAGGGTTTATTGTTCCTTTCAGGGTTATTTTAGGGACACAGTGATGTACTACGGCTTCTACACCAATTCCACAATCCAGCACGGGGACAACATGGCATCCTACAACATGCAACTGGCCTACATATTCACAATCGGAGCATGCTTGATCACCTGCTTTTTCAGCTTGCTCTTCAGGTATAAAGTATCCACAGTACCTGATTCTAAGGTTCATTTTAGATTTGGGCAAAATGCAAGAAACTCAGGGAGGGGGCTTGGGGCTAACTCTTCCATGTTGTCTTTGTTGTGAATGATAGTACTGTCTTTTGTTCAATCCCTGCATTCACTAATGCCTGTTATAATAACCCTTAGATGTTTTGGTTTCTACCTTCTCTAGCATGGCCAGGTATTTCCGGAATAACTTCATTAACCCCCACATTTACTCCAGAGGGATTGCTAAACTCATCTTTTGCTGGGACTTCACTGTCACTCATGAAAAAGCTGTGAAACTAAAACAGAAGAATCTTAGCACTGAGATAAGGGTAAGACGAGCTCACATACCCATCTTCCTAAGGTAGTCTCCTTCCTTCCTGCAGTACATCTGTAACTTTCCTTAAAGAAATTATTTTTCTGTTATTCATAGGATTGGCAGAAATTTTTTAAATATTCAAGGTGCCTAGTATTGGTGATGGTATAGGGAAGTAGACATTTTCATACAATATAGTGGCTTTGTAATTGGTACAACTTTACTGGAGGCCAATTTACCAGTTTATATCAAAATGATAAGTGTACACACTTCTTAATCCCACAGTTTGAGGTTTAAAATTTTCCTAGAGCAATGGTTTTCAACCGATAACAATTTTGCCCTCAGAAGTTTTCTTAGTCTGCTCTAGTGTTGCTTACAGAAATAGCTGAGACTGGGTGATATATAAATAGAGGTTTATTTGACTCATGATTCTGGTAGCTGGAAAGTCCAAAGGCATTACAAAATGGCAGAGCACAGAACTCTGAGCAGAGCATTGGATAGTATGGCCTATATCCATGTGGTCTCTACGTACCACGAGTCCTCCCTTATAAATACATGAGGACTCAACCACAGGGGCCTCCCTATAACCACCCTTTCACTGATCTCTTCACCAGAACCCCATCTTTAACACCATAATTAGATCATGTTTCTGCTCCCTCAATTCCATTACAAAGGCTCAACACATGAATTTTGGGGGCCATATTCAAACAGGGGACATTTGGCAACCTCTGGAAACGATTTTGGTTGTTAAAACTGGGGAGAGGGAGCTACTGGCATCAAGTGGATAGAGCCCAGGCATGCTGCTTAGCATCCTGCAACACTCAAGATGGCTACTGCCCCAAATGCCTATAGTGTGGAGGTTGAGAAAGCTTGGTTGATGGAAACAAACTTACTCAAGAGAAAGAACAAGCAGAATTTATGCAGAAAGGAGCTTTTGCCAAGAACGTTGCAGATGTTAACTTCTTCCTCAGTGAGAGTACCCCAGCCTGATTCAAGATAGAGCTCTGTGACCTCAAGGTACTTTCCTCAAGGACATGCTTCTAACCTGTTAGTCCCACTGTTCCTCTAAGATTCAAATGGAGTTTTACATGGTGATGGGGGGGGGGGTCCTGGCCCTTCAAGATCCTGCCATGGATCTCCCATGCTCCATGTGCATCACAAGCTTTCCTCTCTCTCTCACCTGTGGATCTGGACTGGATTTGTGTCTCTGGGTGTGGCAAATTTTCCTTTGGGATTGGTGAGGAAGGATCTGTGGGTTGACTTGACTTTCTTGCATTTATAGGAGAACCTGTCAGAGATCCGCCAGGAGAACACCAAGTTGACTTTCAATCAACAGCTGATCCGCTTGTCTGCCCACATAGCAGCTTGGGTTGTCTCTACTGGAGTGGCAGCTGCCTGCTGTGTAGCTGTTTATTACCTGGCTGAGTACAACTCAGAGGTAACCTGAGAGGCAAGAACCCCAAGGTCCAGAGCAGAGAACCAGGTGTAGGAATGGATGTTGGAATGGAGCATGGTGTAGACAGAGCCTACTACTCAAGTGTGGTCGGCAGTATCAGCACCAGCAGGAAGTCTGCTAAACAAATGCAGAACCTCCCGTCCTTCCTCTGACCCATAGATTTAGAGCCTGCATCCTAACTAGACCCCCAGGTAGTGCGTGTGTGTTTTATAGCAGGAGCAGCTCTTGCTAGTGAGAGATGGAACTTCAGCTGCAGACCTGGGGTCAAGCTCTTGTTTCTTCCTCCCTGTCATTCTCTCTGATGCCTCCCAGTCACACAGCACAGATGCTCAGTTTGTGTTGTGAGCTGATGGACTCTGGCTGGTGATTTCATCTCTCCAAGCCCCTGTTTCCTCATATGTGAAATGAAAATAATCCTAGCTGGTTTTGTAGGTGTGTGGTTAAGGACGAGAGAAAAGTTATGGGGAGGGTCTGCCCAGTGCCCAGTAGCATGGGTGATGAAGGATTGTCATGCCGTGGGCTCTGAGCCTAATTAGCTAGGTGGCCTGGGTAAACTACTGTTTGTCTATAGGTTTTCAATTTCTCCTCTGGATAATGGGGCTAAATTTTTGCTGGCCTCTAGAATTATGGTACAGTTTGGTCTATTGACATCACTTTCTCACTTTCTTTAATGACTTCCCTTTACCTGCCATATAAGATCTATCCTCTACTGTATCATTAATAGATCTTTTATGATTCAATCGTTGCCCCCATCTCTGATCTCAGCACCTCACAACGAGTCATATCCCACATTGGCAATACCAGATGGCATGGCCATAGTTTCCTTAACACACTGGCTTTCTTCATCTCTAGGTGGGATACCTGCAGTTCATTCTCCACTCACTATTTTTCTTGTTCCTGGCAAGCTACTCCTTTTCCTCTATATCGTAGTGTGGGTGTCACCTCCCCCAGGAAGCCTTCTCTGACCACCACCACCCTCACTAGGCTGAGTCAGGGGGTCCTGACCCCGCAGGCTTCCCTTATGCACTTGTCATATGCAGCACTGAGCAAACCTGTTTATGCATCTGTTTATTCCTGGCACCTAGCCTACCTGGTACCCAGTAGATGCTCAGCCAAGTGGATGAATGAATGAGTGAGAAGTCGGCAAAACAAACAAAGTAGACTGTGGGATTATATAACCCCAAGGGCTTGCCATTCGCCATAGGAAGGTCTCATTTAATTCTTCCAGTGTCTCTTTGGGTTCTGTGATAATGTCTCCAGGCTACAGTTGGGGCAAAGTGGCTCAGAGAAACTAAACACCTGGTCCCAGACCTTGCAGCTTATAAGTATGAGGAAGGGAGGCAGCACTCGAGCTCAGTCACCTGGACTCTTAAGATAGTGCCCAAAATGCTAGTGGTGCTTTTGATCAAGTCGTCCAGAGGTAGATGAGGGTGGGGCCAGGCCTTGGGAGTGAGACGCTAAGGCATCAGACAGACCCACTGGTCTCCCTTCCCACGGGTCTTAAGGAGGCCTGGTGGGGGCAGCCCAGTCCCCACTCCAAGCCAATGCCAGGGCGCTGCATCCCACCAGAGGGAAGGGGAGCTCTCCTACCTTGTATGGGTTAGCAAAGATGTCCCTTTCCCCTAAGTCAGTGCTCAAGGACAGGCACTGGCAACCGTGAACAAGGACATAGGAGAGAGGAGAAACCCACAGTGATCGGTGACCGATACCCTGTGCTGTGGCTTCAGTGGACTCAAGCTCCCTGGGTCCAGCAATAACAGAGCACATCCTCACAGCCCAGGCATCTTGGTAAAGAAATCAAAGTCACAGAATGACTGAGCTCAGGCCCCTGAGTCAGACACTCCCTTGCTGGGTGACCCTGGGGAAGTATCTTTGTTTTTCTGAGCCTCAGTTTGCTTGGCCCAGGGTAAGTTCTACAATAAATAAATTATAGCCTAACAGGTAACCCTACGGAGCTACTTCTGGGGTTTTCCCACTAAGGGGTCAGTTGAGAGGGGCAGAGTGGGATCCAGTACAGTCAGCATCTCAGATCTCTCATCCCTCCCTTGCAGTTCCTGAAGACACACAAGAACCCGGGGGCGGTGCTGTTACTGCCTTTCCTCGTGTCCTGCATCAACCTGGCTGTGCCACGCGTCTACTCCATGTTCAGGCTGGTGGAGAGGTATGAGATGCCACGGCACGAAGTCTACGTCCTCCTGGTCCGGTAGGTCTGTCTGTCGCACGATTTCCTTGGAGGGAAGTGGGGTGGAGGCTAGGGGTGAGGAAGGGTTCATGCTCAAGTATCAAAATTCTGTTCTCCAGAAGAAAAGTCTCCAGAGTAGCGTATATTCACGTGGTGCAGGTGAATAGCCACACAATCTTAAACCCCAAGAAATCACAGCTATTGAATACAAATGCCTGCTGCTCAAAGTAATGGCTTACCTTCCCCAAATGCTACCAGCCTGAGGATGAGCGTCGTTCTGAAGTATGAGTTGTACAGGTGGGCAGGCAGCACACTGCACAACATTCCTGTCTGAGGAGTTGTACTGGACTGAAATCATCCTGTGTTCCCGTTCATCAAACCATGAGCCCTGGTACCTACTGCACTTTTGTAATCCAGCCACCCAAATAGAGGTGGGGCACGTGCTGTTGGCAGCTCATCGGCTCAGAGGGAGTGCCTCTGTGACTCCTACAAAGGCACCGTAGGTAGTAGAGATGACCCCAGGGCATTGACACACAAAGCCTGGAACTACCCAAGTCTTGTCTGCATAGCATCTTCCTGGCTAGTTCCCTGACTGGTTCCTGGTTGTGGCAGTGTCTATAACAATAGGTAGACTGAGCTTCTTCTCTGGTCAGTTCCAGAGCCCTTGCCTTATCACGGCCTCCGAAATGGAGCTCCTGGCCAGCTCTTCATCTTCACTTTCTATCTCTCTCCTTCTTGATCACTGCCTTCCTCCCTCACTGGCCTTGTAAGTGTTCACAAACTTGACCAACTCTATACGGGTTGAGTATCCCTGATCAGAAATACTTGGGACCAGAAATATTTCAGACTTCAGGATTTTTCAGATTTCAGAATATTCATGATGAGATATCTGGGGGGGCAGTCTAAATAAATTTATTATGTTGTATATGCACCTATACCCATGATTGCAACATTTTCATGGTGACTGGTAACATCAGGTCAGGTGTGGGATTTTCCACTATCATGTCAGTGTTCCAAAAGTTCGAAATTAGGGATGCTCAACCTGTACCCATCTCTGGGTTTTTGCATGGGCTGTCCCTTACTTCCTCTCTTCTACCTCCCCTCCCTCCCTCCCTGCTTTTCTTCCTTCCTTCTTTCTGCCAGAGAGCACATGTGTGCACATCACAAGGAGAGATAGTGCCTCCCAAGGGGGTCAGTCATGCCAATCTTTCTTTCCTCCACTTGCCCATCCCATTAGGATCCTGTGCACGTTGAAACCTGCCTGGAGAAAGCACATTGCCACGGGCTGGGATTTGAACTGTGGTCATGAGGGGTCCAGCTCTCTCTGCACAGTGCACTGGCTGTTCTTTCTGCTTGGAATGGTCTTCCCATAGACAGCCACATGGCTTGTTTCCTGACTTTATTCTGGCTTCTGGTCAAACATCGTCTCGGATAGCTCTTCTCTGACCACCCTACTAAAAATAATGACTGCTGGCTACCTTTCTCTCTTGCCTTGTCCTTCTCTTACCATGCCCTGACATTTTTATTTATTTGTTGTCTTCTTCCTCTTGAGTTTACGAAGGAACCTTTGCCTTGTTTACAATGCCTGGAGCATATTAGGTACTCAAGAATAACTGATGAGTAAGTGAATGAGCAAATCAATCAATGACATCCAACTCCTGTTATGAAAACTCCAACCAAAGTGGGTGCCTATACTTTCATCCCACCCACTGGTCTAGGGTGCTACTTTCTTAGGTACACATAGAAGGGGAAATATTAGGTCTCACCATCAGCTCTAACTTTGCATATTGGTTCTGAGGGGCATAAAATACAGTTTACTTGATGATGGAGTTGTAAAGGTTAAGGGGATGATTCAATACAGGGCTTAACAGAGTATCTTGGGTTAGTAGTACCTAATGACTATTTAATTTTTTTCATTTATTATTATTATTATTATTATTATTATTATTATTATTATTATTATTATTATTATTATTATTATTATTATTATTATTATTATTATTATTATTATTATTATTATTATTATTATTATTATTATTATTATTATTATTATTATTATTATTATTATTATTATTATTATTATTATTATTATTATTATTATTATTATTATTATTATTATTATTATTATTATTATTATTATTATTATTATTATTATTATTATTATTATTATTATTATTATTATTATTATTATTATTATTATTATTATTATTATTATTATTATTATTATTATTATTATTATTATTATTATTATTATTATTATTATTATTATTATTATTATTATTATTATTATTATTATTATTATTATTATTATTATTATTATTATTATTATTATTATTATTATTATTATTATTATTATTATTATTATTATTATTATTATTATTATTATTATTATTATTATTATTATTATTATTATTATTATTATTATTATTATTATTATTATTATTATTATTATTATTATTATTATTATTATTATTATTATTATTATTATTATTATTATTATTATTATTATTATTATTATTATTATTATTATTATTATTATTATTATTATTATTATTATTATTATTATTATTATTATTATTATTATTATTATTATTATTATTATTATTATTATTATTATTATTATTATTATTATTATTATTATTATTATTATTATTATTATTATTATTATTATTATTATTATTATTATTATTATTATTATTTTTAATTTGATGAGAGAGAGAGAGAGAAAAGCAAAGAGAGAAAGCAAGCTACCAGGTCTGAGACTCAAACTGTGGTCAGCCACGTGGGAATCTAGTGTCTTAAACACCATGCCACCTGCCGGCCTCCCTAAAGACAATTTTAATATATGTACTATTGTAAATGAAAGTGAAATCAGATAGTTTGAAGATACAATAAAAGAGTGTATTGGTCAGAATAATTTATGTTATGCTGTAGTAACAAACATCCCCCACACATGTACACAGGCACAAATGTCAGAGGCTTAGGAACACAAAGGTTTCTTATGCTACATTTTGCACTGTGGATTGGCAGGGAGTTCTGCTCATGTTAGTCACTGAAGGATCCAAGCTGAGATCAGTGACCATCTTGAACACTGCTGATTGCCTTTCTACAAGGAAGACAATAGGCCTAGAGGGCCTTACACTGGCATTGAGTGCCCCAGCTTAGAAGTGACACACATCACTTCTGCTCACAATCTACTCACTGGAACTAGCCACATGGCCCTACCCACCACAAGAGAGCAAGAATTTCTGTCCTACCGTGTGCCCAAAAGGAAATAATAGCAAATAGCACTAAAGACTGCCTTGGAAGGTAATGACAGTTGTTTTCTCTTCTGTTGTTTAGAAACATCTTTCTGAAAATATCAATTATTGGAATTCTTTGTTACTATTGGCTCAACATTGTGGCCCTGTCTGGTGAAGAGGTGAGATATCCTTGCTATTCTGCCTTAAGTTTGGTTTCTTAGTCTTTGATCACCAAGGAGGAAGTAAGCTTCTCAAAAGCTATCCTGTCCCCTACTGAGTCCTAACCTCTTGTGGGAAGATAACAGAAGCTGATCTGGAAGACAACATTAGGCAAGAGTGGTCTCAAAAATAGCTCAGGAAGACCTTATTCAAACACTACTTAGGTCATTTACAGTGTCACTTGATCTCTTTAAACTTCAGTTTACTTATACATAAAATGAGGTTTAAACAATATCTTGTGTAGGGTAGATATAGTGTCCAGCAGATGGTGGGCATGCTATTACACCCACCTATATATCGATGGTAGGAATTTTAGTTTTGGACAAGACCTTTTTTGGTCTTTGATATTTCATTTTTTTCCCTCTAACATAGGCTGGGCCTTACTGATCTGTAAGCATGCAGATGCTAGTAATAACAGTTATACCCTCACCCTGATCATTCCTGACCTGATCCCCAGCTCTGACAGTGGTGTCTCTGTGGACTCGGGAACAAGCCAGCCTCTCTAGCTTTCTCACTGGGGTGCCTCTGCCCCCAACTACTGGTTACCCATGAGAATGATGCACCTCCACATTATACAGTCATCCTTTGTTGATGGCCTTCCTGAGCACTTAGGTAGCTAGTATGTTCTGCAGTCAGGAAAACAGGACCCTCTTTCTGTCACCTTTGTTCCTGGGCCCCCCAAATAGCATGGCTATGTCCAGACTCAAATCATCTACATGAACATAGCACCTTTGACTTCTCTTTCTAATTATCAAAGAGGTTCAAAAGCAGCCCTGCAAGTTAGGCTAGTTAAAATAGATACCATGTTATTCTTCCATCCATCCATCCATTCTTCTCCCACCTATCCCTTCTACTCACCCACCTACCATCTATACATCCATTCACCCATCTTTCGACCCTTGTGTATATCTAGTCATGCACACATCTAATCATCCATCCATCCATCCATCCATCCTTGGGATGTGCACCCAGAACTTCCTTCTCCTCCTTTATCTAAACATAAAAGTTCCTAGCCTATCAGCTCATAACATTGACTTTTTGCAGAGGTTACTGAGCACTAGTTTCATAAACTGACTAATTAAAACTTTCAGTTTACAATTGTCTGTAAAATCTCTAGGCCACATTCTTTTCTTTTCTGATTTCAAAAGGTTTTTGCCTTTGGGCATGTGCACTTGTGTGCTTGCCAAGAGAGAATGAGAGAGAAAGTGAGAGATCACCCCCTGGGGGGATAGCCATGCCACTTTGCCTTCTCCTCCATTTTCCTCCCGGGATCTTGGGCACGCAAACACACACACCTAGCATGAGTTTCAAGCCACTAGGTCTGGTACTCGAACCGCAGTCGGTCATGTGGGAGTCCAACAATATAACTGCTACACCATCTGCTGTTCCCATGGCCACATTTTAATCAAGTGGATACTAGTGGATTTTCCATAAGGTCAATAAACATTGACCTTAGACATTGACATCTCCTGCTCTCCTGATGAAATTGATTGGCCCTGGCAGAGAAGTGAGATCTAGACAGGATAAGATAGGAAATTTTAAGAGGTGAGATTGAAGATGGAAAGTGTTGATACATGTGGAGGGCAAGCCTTCATGAGGTAAGCAGCAACACAGAGAGAATAAATACTCCTGAAAACAAACTCAGTTGTATTTTTGAGAAGAGTAAGTCTGCTTTTCTGATAATGCAAGAACTTGGTCAAACTGAGCCACCAGCCCTGTCCTAAGGAGTACAGGAAGCCAGGAGCAGATGAGAACTGAACAGGGGCAAAAGCCCCTTCCCACATTCTGACTCTCTTTTGCCTTCCAGTGTTGGGAGACCCTCATTGGCCAGGAAATCTACCGGCTCCTTCTGATGGATTTTGTGTTCTCTTTGGCTGATTCCTTCCTGGGGGAGTTTCTGAGGAGGTAAATATTTGTGGGTCAGTGAGCAATTAATACCTGATGTTGTAACCAGACCCGATTCCTGGCTGAGCGGGAAGTACAGGTTCCTTACTTCCTCGAAGTGTGCATTGTTGAAAGTCTATCTATTGTCCTTGGGGATATTGTTCGCTTCTTCCTTAACTAAAATTTCACTTCAATCTGACATGTCTTGGTGTCACAGTTCATCCAGTCATTTGGTTCATTTCACCCTTTACAATCTTCTTTTGGAAAAAGAAAAATCTAGCAATAGGGCACAGAGATTGAGCCATTTGAAGTCTTATCCACTTACAGAGCAATCAAAAATTTTAATACTCTAGTGTCAATCCTTCCAGAATTTTCTGTGCTCATAAAGCTCGGTTGATGTGTCTACTACACAATACCATGTAATTTTCAAGAACAGAAATGAAGTCACCCTGAAAAATCATTGTGGAGTTCACTCCTTTCAATTTATCATCATGCTTTGGCATCTTTTCATGTCAGAACATATTAGCTTATCTCACTGTTTCACTTTACTTTCATTAATGTGCTAATTTTTATTTTAGATGCCAAGGGTACAGAATTGAGACAATATCATCATTGGCCCATATGTGGCATTTATTTATTTATTAATAATGCAATGAGACTCTCATTACTTAGAGACACTTATATAATTCTGCCAGCTGTTGTAGGGATAAGGTAGCATGACCCAGTGTTGCTTTCTTCCTTGGTAGGTAGGTTGAATTATCCAAATTCTCTCACTTATTTCTGCCAAAACTCACTTTTATTTCAGCTTCTGTCCAGGGCCTAGATATAGAGATTAAAAAAAGCTTGTGTTCCTTTTTGTTAGAGCATGTATGTGCTCTCTGGAGACAGAGAAAGAGAGGGAGAAAGCACCTCTCCACCTCAACCTCTTCTGTTCCATTTCTTCCTCCCTTTGGGATTTTCTTCCTCTCTTTGGGATTTTGGGATTTTATTCACTGCATTTTTTTAAGCTGTGGCCTGAGACTTGAATTGTAGTCAGCCATGTAGGATCCAGCCCCCTCAACCACCACACCACCCTCTGGTCCTAAAATTGTTTCTCATGACAGAATTTTTTTACTGGCAACTGTTCTTTATGAAGTCATCAGTGTGGTCTCAAGTTTCCCTTGAGAAAAAGGAGACCTTCATTTTCTCCTCGTGGATTTTAGTCACCAAAAATGAAAAAAAAAAAAATCTATTTGGGTTAGGAGGTTCTGAATTTGTCTGGTTCCTGATAAAAAATACAGTGAGTAAACAGGATAAACACAGAGGTAATAGGTGCGATAATTTAAATAATTAGGGTAACAAATGTTCTCTAGAATTTTTTTTTTTAAATCACTTTCAGGACCAGCAGTTGGCGTAATGGCTATGTTGCTGGACTCCCATGTAGCCGACCATGGTTCAAGTCCCAGACCCGGTGGCTTAAACTCACGCCGGGCATGTGTACGTGCATGCCTGGGATTCCGAGAGGAGAATGGAGGAGAAGGCTTTGTGGCGTGGCCATCCTACCTGGGGGTGGTGATTTCTCGCTTTCTATCTCTCTATGTCTCTATGTCTTTCTGGAGAGCGCTCTTGCCCTACAGCAAAAACCTCTCAAAAAAAAAAAAAAAGAAGTACTGAAGGGTTAGGGCTGGCAGGTGGCATGGTGGTTAAGGGTGCTGGACTCCCAAATGGCCAGCCATGGTTCTAGTCCTGGACTTGGCAGCTTGCTTTCTCACTTTCTCTCTCTCTCTATCCCTCTCTGTCAAATTAAAATAAATAAATAAAGTAATTCTTAAAAAAAAAAAAATCACTCTCACTGGGGTCCAGCAGGTGGTGTGGTGATTAAGGTACTGGGCAGTCCCACATGACCAGCCATGGTTCGAGTCCCAGACCTGGGGACTAGCTTTCTCATTTCCCTCTCTCTTTTTCTGTATCTCTCTCTGGTCAAATGAAAACAAATGAATAAATAAGTAAAATTTAAAAAGTAATTTGTTTTAAAAATTACTTTAGCAGTATTCCACTTGACTATATTGTCTTAATTTCATTTTCCTTCAATTCCTTCAACTATTTCTTCAAAAAGATGCTTGTGTATTTAGAATTTTTCAAAAATTTGCAAGGGAATTTACAACTTCATTCCAACCTGATCAGGGTTTCTTGTTGGTGGGGGATCTTTTCAAGCAGGGAGTGATGGCTTGATTTCTAAACTCAGTGCACTTTCACAGACTCGTTTGGATGCGATTTAGCTCCAGTCATGGCGTACAGGAGTTTGACATCGCCAGGAATGTTCTAGAACTGATCTACGCACAAACTCTGGGGTGGTAAGTTTGGTGGCTCTCTGGGATGCCCAGTGATTCCCGTCTGACTGTGGACTTGGAGTTTCAGTGGAGAGGTTCCAGCATCTGTCGTACTTAAAACTGCACAGGGGGTGATAGCACATCTGGCCAGTTTGAGCTGGGGTCTTTGAGCAGAGCCTGTATAAATGGGATTAATGTCCTTATAAAAGAGACCCAAGAGAGATCCTCTGACCTCTTCTGCCATGTGAGGACCTGAGAAAGCGCCATCTGTGGGGACACAAGTGAGCACCAGAAAGCAGGCCCTCACTGAATCTACTGCTGCCTGACCTTGGCCTCCCTAACTGTGAGAAATGCATTGCTGTTGTTTGTGGGCCACCTAGTGTATGGTATTTTGTTACAGTAGCATTAAGGAACTAATATTTAATCATCAGATTTCATATCAAATTTCAATTTCTGGGTCCAGGCTCTGTGGCAATGTGCACAGCTCCAAGATGCTGAAGCCACATGGAAGGTAGAGGTTTGGTTCCTAGGTAACCTGTACCAAGCAAGCACACAATCCTGGCTAACTGGGAAGACTGGGAGATGTTAGCATGAGATCCTGTCGAGGGTATTTGTTTTTCTCTAGGAAGAAAGGAAGGAAGAGAGGGAGAAAGGGATGAAGAGAGGGAGGGAGAGAGGAAGAGATGGAAGAAAAGAAAGGAAGGGAAAAAACTAAAAAAAAAGGAAGTTTTTGAAACCTCTGCCTTTTCTCCAGAAAGAGCTGGCCCATCTCCCATTGCAGTATCATTTGGCTGAGTTTTGAAGGAAGGTGAACACCTCCAGTTTGCCACAGTTTCCACCTAGAACTGTTGTTGTCTTCCTGGTATTGATTTCTCATTAGTTTTCTTGGGGGAACTTCCTTTACATTCATGTCTCAGCCAAAGAGGGTGAATAAAGGCAGTCAGAGAGGGCTGTGTGTTTTTCATATCTGGCCTGCTTCGCTGATACACTACCTGGTGGGATCTGTGTAGTCTTTGGGACTTGAGACTTCTGTTTCAGCAGCTCTGTGTGTGTGTTGAAAATAGCCAGCTAGTGGCATCAGTTTTTGTTTTTGTGGACTCACTTAGAAACTTCAAACCAATAGGCAGTAACTATTTTTCCTTATTTATTTTACTATGATAGAGTTAATGCCAGAATTCTGTATGGTGTATCAGATTCCCAGGGTCCATCTGCTTTGGGAGGGGGTGTAGGCTTATTTGAAATGAGTGGATTTGGAACCAGCAGATGGTGTAATGGTTACGTCACTGGACTCCTATGTAGACGACCATGGTTTGAGTCTCTGATCCAGTAGCTTAAACTCACTCCGGGTGCATGTGAGTGCATGCCCAAGATCCCAAGAGGAGAGTGGAGTAGCATGGCCATTCCCCCAGGGGGTGATTTCTCGCTTTCTGTCACTCTGTCCCTCTCTGTCTTTCAGGCAAGCGTACGTGCCCTATAGCAAAAGCTCTCTTTCAAAAAAAAAAAATAAGTAGTGGATTTGGAGTTGGATGAACCTGGATTTTAAAGCTGGCTCTGCTACTTACTGAGATCACTGAGCTTCTCTTGAGCCTCCGTCACCTCATCTGTAAAATGTAGACAATAATCTGCCTTCCAATTCTGTTGAGGCTTAAATGCAATGGTAGATGAAAACTACTTTGCAAATGTAGCTGGAAAGTGCTTTATTTTCTGATTACTTAAAGCTGCCTTGGGTGATATGGCTGACTGCAAGTAACTCACCAATGCCCATGAGTTTTTGGAGACAGTGGGGACTTTTCTTTGGTAGTTCAGGTGACACGTTGGCACTGGCAGGCCACCCGCTGGCAGTTTGGCAGCTTCCAAAGACCTTTCATCCACATTGTTTCAATGAACAGGGTGCCTTTGGCAAATTCCTTAAACTCTAAGTTGTAATTTTCTAACCTTTAAACGGTAAAGATAATAGCACCTATTGCACAGGGTTCGGGAGAGGAGTAAACGAGATCATATAAACACAAAGTACTTAGCAAGTACCTAGCTCAGAAATGTTTTATAACTGGGAACATCACAAGCATCATTTTCCTCATGAGCACGCTTTTATAATGATAGTAAAAAAAAAAGTATAGTGAGAATATTCACATTGTGTGCAACCAGTTTTCAGAACTTTAAAAATTTTGTAGGGCCGGCAGGTGGCATGGCGGTTAAGGACGCTGGATTCCTACATGGCGGACTGCAGTTCGAGTCCTGGACCTAGCAGCTTACTTTCTCACTCCCTCTCTCTGTCTCTGTCTCACTCTTGTTCTGTCCCTCTCTGATCAAATTAAAAATAGATAAATAAAGTTAAATAAAATAATTCTTTAAAACATTTTTGCAATAATTGAGACTCTGTATTCACTAATCAGCTTCTCGTCTGGCCCTCTCCCCAGGCCCTGGCAACCACCATTGTGCTTTCTGGTTCTCTGAGTCTGACTACCCCGTATTAGTGCAGTCGTATGGTATTTGTCTTTTTGAGACAGGTTTATTTCACTTTGCATAACCTCCCTAAGGTTCATCCGTGTTGCAATACTTCCTTTTTAAAGCTGCACAGTCTCCCATTGTATTGTCTGGACCACGTTGTTAATCTTTCACCCACCGACGGATGCTTGGGTTGCTTCCGCCTTTTGACTATTGTGAATAGTACTTCTATGAACAGAGTGTGTAACTCTTTCTTTGAGATTATGCTTTCAGTTATTTTTCGTATATAAGGAGACTTCAAAAAGTTTGTGGAAAAATGGAGTTAAAATACAAGCTTATTTTAGTGCAAAAATTGGATATCCATGCATAGTTTTTTCATTATGTGCATTTTCCATGGAATTTTTTTTTTGAATTAAGCAAAAATTTTATTTCCAGGCTCTTTAAAGATTATTACAAACAAAAAGTGGCTTAAAAATGTCCCAAATTAAATGAAAGGCACATCCTCAAAGTAAAACACTTGTGACGTGAAGAATTCTTTTAAGTTCTCATATTTTCACGTTATTTTGTTTAATACCATTTGCAATATTTGGTAGGTCACATTTTAAACATTTTTAAAGACATGAAATAATGTGGTATTTCTTTTTTTTTCTTTTTTTTTTATTAATTCACTTTACACCATCACAACACACAAATGAATTTTCCATCCAAAATACACTGTGCATTGTCTCAATCAAGTACATCCACATATATGTTCTCAGCAAATAATTTTCCAATTCTTACGTCCTGCATACCTTGCCCTTTGTCTTGCCATCCCTGATTCCCCATCCCCCACC